TGAGGACATTGCATAAACTCATTGATTTTCTATCAGGTTAATGGCATTTTCTATAAGCTTTCTGGCAATATTGTCTGAACTGAGCTGGATGATGACATCACTGAATCAATGATGAACTGACTTTAACTAGAAAATTTAGTGTCTTCCATTGTCCTTGTGCATTATTGACACACTATTTTTCTATTTGACACTGTAAAGCTGCTTTGACACAATCAGTATTGTATAAAGCGCTATAGAAATAAAGCTGACTTGACTTGACTAACCCTAACTCCTACTCTTAACTTACCCATCAAACAAACATGTGCACAACACTAGATTTACATCAACATCATCTTTTGGCTGATTTATAAGCCTTTTGAACTGGTTAGGACCAGTCAAATGTCTCAAAGTATTTCACTTTTGGCCCTCACAAGTATAGTCAAAACAAGTGTGTGTACACACACACACACACACACACTTAATGCTGTCACAGTTAGGCGTTTGGGCCTTAAAGGTGCAATCAGTAGTTCTTTAGCTTAGCATTAGCATTGCCATTCTTGTATTTTAAGTACCGTTACCACAATGGTGTTAAATGGTCTCTTAAGTTTTATGTAAAGTACAGTGAAAGCACTATTGAGTCTTCATCTCATGTGAATGTACACCATTCAGATGACATTTAAATCGTCACTAAACTACTGAATGCACCGTTTAATAAATCATTTGCCTATATTTTGCTTGGAATCATGTAATAAATCAGGCTTATATGATTAGTTAACATATTAAAATCAGGGAAAGGACAAAAAACATTTAACCATGATCATAACACAGATTAGAAAATCAAAACTCACGCACTTTAGTCATCTGACTCGCTCAGATCTGCGACGAGTGAATAATCTCAGTGTTTATTCAGCATGAGATGGGTTTGTCTCTAACGGTTCCTGTTCTCTGTTCAGTCTCATGGATCGAGAGGTGACGCTGCTCACTGAGATGGACAAAGTCAAAGCCGAAGCCAGTGAGTAGAGCGACAGCACACACAGAATCAGTCCGTCTGTCGTTCAGACTTCAGATCCTCACCACAGGGCCGGCTCTAGGTGCTGGTGCCCCTTGTATCGCAGCCAATTCCACCACCGATCATTCACACAGAAATTGCATAGCTTTATGACATAAAACAAATTACATATGAAATAAATAAGACCGTTGCACAATAAATAAATAAATAAACCGACAATAACTCGGCTAGCTATTTAAGGCAGCTACAATACTAACATTTAAATCTTAATTTCTTCATTTCAGACATTCATAAATTTAGGGATGCACTGATCTTAACTTTTCATGGCAGAATCCAATACTGATTTTTAATGTATTTTATTTAAGCAAAAGACAAGGAAGAATGAAAATATAAGTGCATGAGGAATATGGTTAGTTGCTCCATTAGCCTATGTTTTGATCTAAATTAAACTATAATTTCACATCCTGAAGCAAAAACAGAATGGTCTGACTTTAGCTTTGTGAAATTAGGCTACACAAAACATAGCAAACAGCAGATGGGCTGAATGAAAATGTAAATTCACTCTCTGCCAGCAGATGGCGCATAAGGAACAGCAGTGATGCATTGCTTCCTTGATTACCGCTGTAAACACTAAATGCATTATTATACAGAGGCAAGATGAAAGGAAAATGCCATTTAAACTGTTTCTTAAGACGGTCAGTTCCCCTCAGAGATGCATTCATACTTCACGCATTGTGAACAGTGAGCTTGCTCTGCCTGCTAATGTATTCTCCTCTTTGAGTTTGCAGACTCTGAAATAAATAAATAAACAAAAACCGTCCGGTTCCGATTTATGGTCGATCGGTGCATCTCTGCTCAAATTCAAATATTAAACTGCTTTTATTTTGGTGGTTTGCCAGCAAATAAATAATGCGCTGCATGTTTCAGAGTGAAGCGCTGCGTGTCACGGGCTGCACTCGAACACGTTACCCGCTTCTCTGAAAACTGCAGAACATTGGTATTTTTATATTAAATCGCAACCTTCGTGATATGACTAAGGCATTAAGCTATAATGTGATATCAATTATATTTTAATATATAGTGCACCCCTAATTAAAATATTATTATTAAAAAAAAAAAAACTCATTTGGGCGCCCCTAGCATTGGCCTATGTGACGGGCCGGCCCTGCCTCCCCATTCCTTTCCCAGTGACAGTGCAATGTGCATGTCAAAAATTAATGGCACTGGAATGGGACGAGTGCTTAAATTAAATGAAGTCAACTGTTTTGACAAGAACTTTGTATTCTTATAAGGAGAACATCAGAGGCCATTGTCTGTCAAACATACTTTTTAAATCTGTTGATACACTTGAAAAGGTTTTTAAGCAAATTAATCAATTTAGTTTGTGTTTTTGGGACAAATGGGTCTTAAATATCTTGTTTGATTTGTGTTTAAAATTTTAATAACTCAAGTATGGTGTTCACCATGAAAAAAGCCAAAGAAGCCGACACTGCATTAAAACAAACCCAGTGTCATTGTTTTCATGCTGGCGCTTCTTGGGCGTAACCTCGCCTGTCCAAAGCAGCAGCGTCTGTGTATGTCCAAATAAACCGCATTTAATGCAGACTGGCACAGAATCATGTGTGTCATTGAGCGGAGGGAGACTCCCAATACAGTCACTGAGAGATCACTGTGTGTTCATGCTGTTTGGTGAGGCTGATCAGGCCTGTGTTTCTGTGACAGTGGCGATTCTGGACGGCCGTCAGAAAAGAGCAGAGGAGCTGAGGAGACTGGCTGACAAATCAGCATCACTGACAGAGGAGCAGCTCGCTGAACTACGGGCTGACATCAAGGTACACACACACTCGCTCACGCACTCTCTCACGCACTCACTCACACACACACACTCACACAGCAGTGACCGTGTAAATCATCACGCTTCATTTACTGCTGTCTAATGCGTGTCTCTCTCTCCAGCACTTTGTCAGTGAACGCAAGTATGACGAGGATCTGGGTAAAGCTGTGAAATTCTCCCATGATCTGGAGCCTCTGAAGTGCAGCATCATGTCGTTTGGATCAGGTGGGTCAGTGAACGGGAACAGTGTTGCCAGAGTCACGGTTTTCCCGCACAACTGGGCTGTTTTGAAAATGCAGCTGCGAGGAAAAATGAGAGAGCTGAGGGTTGCGGTTTTTTGGGCTACTTATATAATGTACCATGAAAAACTATTTTGATATAGCATTTTAATCTGCTCAATCTGTAATTCGCTAAATGCCACTATAAGACATAAAGGTGTAAATAAATAATAAACATTATCATCATGATTTTCTGTAAAGCTGCTTTGAAACAATGTGTATTGTGAAAACACTATTTAAATAGCCTAAATTGGGCTTGCTTGAGTTTTTGTGGATGGCTATGTCTGTTTATCACATTGTTGACAGTGTTATTCATATTTATAGCTCATTTTATACAAGCAGAGTGCTGAAAATTAAAATCAGAGTAACAGAAGTATTAAGAGTACCCAAATTAACTGAGGAGGAATAAAATAGAGATTAAATATTTAAATATGCACATTCTACATATAAAAATGTTAAAATAATCTGAAAAAGATTTAAAACATTGAATAAACAAATTCAAAACATTTATTGTAAGGCCCTTTATGGGAATCCTGCAGCTGTCAAATTGACGGGGCAAAATTGGGTTACTTTTCAGTCCTTTTGGGGGGATATGCGCTGGGACCTGGCAACCCTGATCATAACTGTGTTTGTTCCATATAAGCGGACACGCGAAGTGTTGAGATGACTGATCGTCTCTGTCTGTCTGTAGTGTATCATCCTCAGACGGGCTACTCCAGCCGTTCTCGTTGTAGCTCCACCTCTTCCTCTGTCACAGGCTCCGCCCCTGCCAAAGCCCCGCCTCCCTCTGAGCTCCAGCATCCTCAGGCCTCTGCTTACACGGGCCGTCCCAGCGTGCCACACAAACAGGTGATCAATCGCATGCGCTCGTGTACCGCGGCAGTCGTGTGCTCCTGCTGAACTGACCTTTGTCTCTCTGCCTTGCAGATTTTCCAGGGCAACCGGCGCATCATTCACGGTTACCAGGGCAATCAGCGATATAACGGAAACACGCATGCCGAGCGAAACCCCAGCCGAAGCAGCTACCGCTATCAGGGAGAGCACGGTCACCAGAGTGACCTCAACTCTCAGCCGACCAATAGCGCGAGAGGCTCCTCCCACTCTTCAGGCTATCGCTCAGATCGACCCGCCCACAACGGGCTTCCACAGAGGCAGCCGCGGACGCACGGCCCGTGATGCCCCACACACACACACACACACACACAGAGCTGTCCGATGAAGAGAAAGTCAAGTTTACATCAGTTGAGCTGCGGCTCGACTTCTGCTCTTCACTCTTCTGTCTTGCTCTTCTTTCACACTTGTCTGTCACATTAGAGTTCAGTGTTAGTCTCAGTAGTTCCTGTGGTGAGTGTTTGCTCGTGGGCTTCCTCTTTCAAACGGTCAGAGTCGAGGAAAGCGATTCTCAGATGATCAACACTAAGGCGGCAGGCAGAGTTTGTTCTAGTGGGCTGCGAGTAGTTTGTTTTAGTTAGTCACGTTGTCATCGATTGAAGCCAGTGTGTGCTAAAGCACGAGTCTTCACGATCACGATATACCTCACATTCATCTGCTCTCAAGGCCTCATTTCACGCTGCGCTGTTCTTCTGCGCTCAACGTCAGCTTCCTTTAGCCTTTCTGAAAGCCTCCGTTTGGAAAGCATCTGCGCTTACGTTTGCATGCTGGGATATCAGATTGACAAACGTCTGTGTGTTTGATCAGGAAAGCTCTTCTGTCTGGATTGTTTTGCTGACATTGAGTCTGTCTGTGTGTCTCTCTTTTATTTCTGAAAGCTTGATGTCATGATGATCAGCACTCTTCTCTGCTCAATCCTGTATATATGTAAACTATATGTATAATGTTTTGTAGCCTCCGGCCATGTATGTAGTGTGATTTTTAGTTCTCTGATTGAACTCCGTTATCAAGCAACTTCTGTTCTTCCTTGTATATGGAGAGAGAGAGAGACTCGTTTGTTTTTTCCCCCCAAAATGATCTGAGACCGCTGTAATCAAGTGCCTTCAGTCATGCGCTTTCATTGTCTCGTTCCTTCTGCTCCGGTGCGGACCAAAGACGTCAGATGCCGTCGCCTGCTCCTGTCATGCGAACTGCACTAGCAAACACTCCATGTCTTTCTCGCTAATTGGCCTACTTGCTTTTCCTTTATTATAAATAAAGAAGGATTGGTAGCAAATGCTGAAACTGTCTGCAGACTGTTTTTCTCAGTTGTCATGTTTTTGCTGTTGGTCAGAAAATGGTGACATTCATGATGAAATATTTTGTGTTTGAAGCTGGTCTTGTGCTGATTTTTCTGGCCAAGATCACTGATTTGTAAAACGAACCACTCTTCACTAGTACTCTTGATCTTTGAAGTCAGAACTGAATCCTGACTGTAGTGCCATTTGCTTTAGACAATGTTTTGTTGTTCTGACTTCATTACAGTCAAACATCAAATGCCACTCTGTCAGGAACACAAGCTGCTGCTTTAGCAATTTACTGGCTCACACACACACACAGGTTTTCATGTTTTATGGGCTCATTCCATAGGTGTATTGGTTTTTATACTGTACAAACCAGTGCTCTGGGGATCGAACACCCACAGTAAAAACATATATGCCCCATTAATTTGAAGTTATAGCTTAGTGTGCGCGCGCATAATATTTCTTATAGAAGCCGTTGATGTGCTTCATATTAATTTCTTGTGATTTAAGCTCAGTTTTTGTAACTGAATATCGGGAGACATGTGAATTATTCGTTGGATTTTAACTAATCCGAGTCAGTAGCTTTGTCATTCCAGCTCTGTACAGTTAGCATACAGTGAAACGAGACGGCGTTTCTTCAGGACCAAGGTGCTACATAGACAAGAACGCAGGACTACAAAGAAATTAAACTGGACATAATTAAATTATATTAAATAGGCTAAGTAAAAAGTTAAATAAGAACTAAGAAGACTATTAAAAAAAAAGTACTAAGAGAAAAAAAAGAACTGACTATAAAATAAGAACCGTAAACGTTTAACACAGACTACATAAAGTGCATGTGCGCATACTGAGAGAACCGTGCATACAGCAAAATGGTTTGTGCGGAGGTAGATAATAGATTGGGATGTGTGTGAGAGTGGTTCAAATCAGTCCAGTGTGTGAATGAGTTCTTATCCCCTCAGTCATCTGGAGTTGAGGAGACTGATGGCTTGGGGGAAGAAGCTGTCACGCAATCTGACTGTGAGGGCCCGAATCCTTCTGTACCTCCTGTCAGATAAAAAAACACAGAACGCAGGACTACAAAGAAATTAAACTGGACATAATTAAATTATATTAAATAGGCTAAGTAAAAAGTTAAATAAGAACTAAGAAGACTATTAAAAAAAAAAGTACTAAGAGGAAAAAAAAGAACTGACTATAAAATAAGAACCGTAAACGTTTCTACATAGAGTGCATGTGCGCATACTGAGAGAACCGTGCAGACAGCAAAATAGTTTGTGCGGAGGTAGATAATAGATTGGGATGTGTGTGAGAGTGGTTCAAATCAGTCCAGTGTGTGAATGAGTTCTTATCCCCTCAGTCATCTGGAGTTGAGGAGACTGATGGCTATAAAATAAGAACTGTAGATGTTTAACACAGACTACACAAAGTGCATGTGTGCATACTGAGAGAACAGTGCAGACAGCAAAAATGTGCAAAAATTTGTGCAAAATTGTTTGTGCGGAGGTAGATAATAGATTGGGATGTGTGTGAGAGTGGTTCAAATCAGTCCAGTGTGTGAATGAGTTCTTATCCCCTCAGTCATCTGGAGTTGAGGAGACTGATGGCTTGGGGGAAGAAGCTGTCACGCAATCTGACTGTGAGGGCCCGAATCCTTCTGTACCTCCTGTCAGATGGGTGAAAAGTTTATGAAAGGGGTGTGTGGGGTCGCCCGCAATGCTGATGGCTTTACGAGTACAGCGTATGGTGTAAATGTCTGAGATAGAGGGACCCCGATGATCTTCTCAGCTGTCCTCACTATCTGCTGCAGGGTCTTGCGATCTGCGATGGTGCAGTTACCAAACCAGACACTGATACAGCTGCTCAGGATCATTAAGTAAGAATGATCATTAAGAATGTCAAAATGTTATCTAGGTTATCTAGAGCTGAATTAAAAAAGTATGCATTTCTAGCCAATCGTAATTTAAAACTTAGTATACATAATATTTTTCTTAGAAGCTGTCAATATGTTTTATACGATTTTTTGTGTCTGTCTTGTGTCTGTGTTTGTAACTTGTGTCTTGTGTCCGTTTTGAGAATCTGGAGCAATATAATTATTTGTTCTATTCTAGCTAATCGTTAATTGAGAATATTATGTTTAAGTCAAGTCAAGTCACCTTTATTTATATAGTGCTTTTAACAATACAGATTATGTCAAAGCAACTTTACAGCATTAAATAGGAAAATAGTGTGTCAATAATGCAGAAGGACAATAGTAAACACTCAATTTTCAGTTAAAGGCAGTTCATAGGTTCCTAACTGATGACAAGGAATTAACAGAGCAGCCATCAAGTGTTAGACAGTGTTCTAGGTTATTACATGCAGAGTTTTTAGGTCTTATAATTAACACCTCTGTTTTTTCAGAATTTAGCAGTAAGAAATTACTCGTCATCCAGTTTTTTATATCGACTATGCATTACGTTAGTTTTTCAAATAGGTATGTTTTGCTGAGCCGCGAAGAAATATAGAGCTGAGTATCAACATTTGGACTGCTGTGTGTGTATTTGAGCGCTGAGAACTGATCGCGCGCTGTATATGAGAACTGAAGAAGTGGAGTGTGCGCGAGAGAGAGAGCACTTCTATCAGTGCTATCCCGCCTTCACTAACTTCAAGTTAATCGACAACGAATACCTATCAGTGCTATCCCGCCTTCACTAACTTCAAGTTAATCGACAACGAATTGTGACTCCCGGGAAAAACGGGACGTCTGGTCACCTTATCCCTACCCCTTCGGGTGATGAGGCCATTGTTTCAGATCGCTAGTGCGCGTTTTGGTAGCCTATCTATCTACTGCGGCTGCCATACTGAGACTAGACATGCAAACGCCCTTTATCCTACTGCAATTCAATGACAGGGACGCACATTTTGAAGGACAAGACAGTAGCCTATAGGATGTATTTTGAATGTCCGGTAGTCCTCAAATAACATTATAGTCCCGTCTCGTTTTCCCCCACCTAGAGGACAAGAACCAGACTGAAATTCCTTATGAGACCTTTTAACCTCGTTGGTCTTCACAGAACACATTATTACTTCATAGAATGGCACAGAAACTGCCTTTCCATGTATACTGTATATGCACCTAAATGACGCTACCATGTGACTGATAAGATAACGTGTGATTTATGTATTGGGAGGAGAAACATCGCAACACCCCAAGCAAAGACATTGTCTAATTGGTCAAGGCACCATTTGGGATGTGTCCAACAGCCATGTTTAAATACACAGGACACCATCAAATTATGTTTTTAGTCATCGCTTTTAGCCATGCTTTTTGCCCGTGAATTCATCGAGTAATTGATACCGCAGCCCCGATGCTCCGACGCAGTTTTCAAAGCACTATTGTATCACACACTGTGCCGATGCTTGCATCGAAATGACAACACCACGTGATTGATGACATTTGAAACTCCGAACCCACACACTTGTATATTTTATATTATTGATCAATATGTGAATCCATTGACCAGACTACGCATGACACGAGTTGGCACAGATTAAAAACTTGTTCAAACCATCCTCTGCTCTGCGATGTTTCGTTAGAGAGGCTGGAGAAACAGAGTCTGACCACCAGATGTTGCTAATGCGCACTGTTAAAAAGCTTCGAGTAATGAACCGTTTTTCGGCACAATTTGATGAAAGCCTCAAACGGTTCAGAAAGCCTCAGTTTCCCATCACTAATTCAAACCAGCCAAAATGTGCCAATTTACTGCAAACCAGATGAAAAACCAGAGGCACTTCTTCTTCTTCTTTGGGTTTTAACGGCAGCTTGCAACCAGAGGCACTGCTGGAATGTCTGGAATATCTGTGCTGTGGTGCATTATGGGAGGTGGGAGAAACCAAGTGCAGAGGATGAAGGGGGTTGTTTGTTATTTAAAAAAAAAAATGTTTTTTTTATTTTTATTTTTTTATTTGAATGCCTTACCAATGATGGAATTTGTATACATGACTGATAAATAATTTGTTGATTATAGTTATATAGTTTAGTTTTTTATTAATTTAATTACTGTTAGCTTGCGTGACTGTCAATGGTTTTGCCCATCACTATAAATGCCCACTAGCTATGGGCCAAGTTTGTCAGTATGAGATGGCAGTTGTGGTGTAAGGATGTTGAAAGAGATTTGCATGCTTGAAAGTATTCCTGCTTTAATCATTGAAAGGTAGGCTCTTTTCTTCTTCGTTCATTTTTGTGATTATATATCTTGTGTATTTTTTTTTATTAATGAGAACCTATGTCTAGTAATAAATGTTATGAGCCAATCAGGAGTTGCTTTTGAGTTTGATAACAGTCCTGTTGAAGGACGAAGACCGCATGTGAAGCTGATTGAATGTGACAGCTGAACTGCATCAAGAGAAGGTCGCCGTGATTTTGCCAAGTAAGACATGTTCCTGGATCAACATAACTGTCCACAAATATAGACTTAGCCCAATCCCTACCTCTAAACCTAACCCTACCCATAATTTATTCCTAAAAACAGTGAGAAATGATAGCTGATTAACAAGGGTGTAGAAGCACCTAACCCTGATTGTAAGCCTAAAACAGATATTTCCTGAAAAGTTATCCCTCAATTCTGATTAGTTGATAGGAATGTTGTGCCAGGATCAACAAGGATGGTGATCCAGGAACATGTTGTACTTGGTGAAATCACGCTCACCCCGACTATACAGGTACTTAAGTAGAAATGCCTGTACCTGATGGCAGGTGTTGAAGTCCAGACCGGATTCTGCGGGCTGCAGGAGCGCGACAGCAGAGACGGAAAAAAATCACAGACCGTTTACTGGAGACACAAACCATCTGAACCAGACTGAACGTAAACATATCTTCATTTAACCCTCAATCTCTCCTTGGGGTCAATATGACCCCAATCAAGCTTTCCTTAGTTAAAAAAAAATGGTTCACTTCATCTCAGTGGAATAAGATTTTGTGACTTTTCTACATTTTCTATCTATATTCACATAAAATAA